TGGATCAAGTTTACGTGGTACCCATCTAAAATAAAATTAAAAAAAGTTAAGACGGTATTTTAGATTGATAACTATTGATCTAAATAAAATACTTAATGCTTTTGTATTGGTGTTTTTGGAAACAGTTCTGTTTTGTAACTCGAATTTATTTTGGCTCGAGTAGCTCAACTGCCCAAAACGACGTCATTTTGGGCAGTTTTTTTTTTTTCCTTTTCTCTCTGCAGGATGAAGAGGAGGAGAAAGGAGGAGGAGGAGGAGGAGGAGGAGGAGGAGAATGATGAGAGAAGAGGGAGCTGTGTGAGAGAGAGAGCATATCATCATCATCATCAACAAAAACAACAACAACAAACAGAACAGCGAGAGAGAGATCTATACACATCATCATCAACACAAAGAGAGAGAGAGAGAGAGAGAGAGAGAGAGAGATCTATATACACACACACATACATAGAGAAAGAGACATACACAGATTTGTATATCTGTGTATACACAGATCTGTTGATGACGGCGTCGGTGATGGCAGTGATGACGCAGTGATGACACTGGTGATAGGCTCCTTTTCGTTCCCTCTTCCTATCTCTTCTCTCTCTTTCTCTTTTTCTTCATTTGTATATCTGTGTATACACAGATCTGTTGATGATGGCATCGGTGATGGCAATGATGGTGCGGTGATGGCACTGGTAATGGTCTCCTCTCCGTTCCCTCTTCTCTCTCTCTTCTCTCTCTTTCTCTTTCTCTTTTTCTTCTTCTATTTTCTCTCTTTTTCTCTCTCTGTTTCAAAATATAAGAGAAAAAAAAATGTCCAAAACAACATCATTTTGGATGGTCAAGCGACTCAGGCCAAGCAAATTTCGAGTAATGAAGGATTATTGTTTAGGAAAGCAATGTAAAATGTGTCAATTAGGCTTCACTTGGTCATAGCAAAACAATCAATTATTGCCTAAAAAAAATATTTTTTTACAAAATTCTTAACTCGTTTGCCAAATTCATTTACCGCCTCAAGAACTTTAACAATTTTAAACTCATTTGAAAAATCAAAAAGTTAAGACCATGCTAAATAAATTAGTTTTTTTTATAGGTTTATTTTTAGGAAGACTTGTGTATAAGTCTTAATAGGTGGACTTATTGTCCAATAAGACTTATCAGAATTAATAATATTTTTTTATTAAACACTATTAAAAAATCATCACTAATTGTTAATTTTCAATAACGGTTTAAAAATTTTGTTATAAAAAATATCACTAATTATAAATTTTGGCAACAGATTTAAAAATATCGTCACAAAAAAAAGTTATTAATTTTCAACTTTTAGCAATAGTTTGAAAAACTCGTCACAGAAAGTCATTAATTGTAAGTTTTAGTGACAATTTATAAAAAAAAGTGACAAAAAAAGTTACTAATTGTTAATTTTTAGCGATATATACAAAAAATCGTCACAAAAAAAATTATTTTTAACGACGATTTTATTAGGATTTATTTTCAATAGAATTTGATAGGAATTAAGTCAAACTATAAGACCTATTGATAATTTATCCTTATTTTTTTAACCAATGACTTAACTTCTTAACTCTTAAAATGGGAATGGCTTCCCTCCGGTTTGATCATGGACTGGAGGGTACTGTTGGGTTCGTGGAGGCTATCACGAGTTCTGTTTTGATAATCTGAACCGTTCAATATGTAAAACTCGTTGAGTACTATACATTTTAAAACATCACATTGATCGGATATTGATAGCTATATGATCAAATCAAATTTTTGTAATCCATTTATTTTCACCGTTCATTTTTTTCATACAAAATTAATTTGATCATATAGCTATCAATATCCAATCAATGTGATTTTTTATAGGCATGTATTACTCGACGAGGTCTACACATTTAACGATTTGGATTATCAAAACGGGCCCAATAGTACCCTCCAATCTAGAGGGAAGCCATTTCTTTTAAAATAAACCTTAATTGGAGTTGAACATTATTGTAAGGGCACTTAATAATTTTTTTCTTAACCTCAGTTATATCTACTATAACTCTCTTCCTTTCTATAGTTTGGATGTTAAATTTATCAATAAAAATGAAAACGAAAAGAAAATCAAATTACTTATGCATACTCAATTTATGAATAAAAAAACAAAAAATATTATTCTTTTTAACAATATGTATTCATCTCATTTCTCAATTTTCTAACCCAAGCAAAAAATAAAAAAGAAATATTTTTTACTTCATTTTACTTTCCCACATCATGTTCATTTTCCACGAATCCCTTTTTACTCTACAAATTCAAAATTTAAAATCAAAAAACAAGATACAAATAAGTTTTTATATACGAATCTCGCACTACACAAATTAAATCTCAACTATACAACTCTAATTCAGGTAAATTTGGGGAACTTGGATTCATAGCATTTTTCTATATTTTATTTTTATGTTCTTTGTGGTAGTAGTTCAACAAAGTGTATATAAGCTTTAAATTGATTCGGATTTTTTGAACCTACAGATTTTGACCATTATTTACAAAAAATAAAAATAAAAATAATAAAATAAAATTTAACAAAACATATATGAATTCAATAATGAGGGCTATTTCAAAACTCATTGCAGGGTCCAAAAAAGGTTATATGTGAAGATAACAACTACCTTTACTAATAAGCTTTAACTACTTTTGAATTATAAAATAAATAAAACATATGAAAATAAAAAAAGAGAGACCAGATAGAAAAAAAATGTCAAATTAAAAAATGGGTTGTCTTAATATGACTTACCCACAACATAACCTCATAAACTTAAAAAAGAAGAAGAAGAAGAAGATATATTCTACTTCATTCCATTCCAACCATTTTGATAAATATTTTTGGAGTGTTAGTTGACGATATTGATCCTCAATAACCATCAATTAAGAGCATCAGCAGTAGCCTTGCTACTCGCTCCATTTTGCGATTTTGTCTAGCCTAAAACTCTGAATTGAACTCCATCAAACTCACCCAAGTCACAGGGAAATGTCCTTGAGCAACAGTAACTCGCTAAGAGTGATGAGCTACTGTGCACTGGCTTTACAATTTTTAATTCATTTATCTTCATTTATATTATTTAAGCGAGACATTATTCATACGTTAATTTATTTTTTATTATATTTTTTGGGCCAAAAAGCCATGGCCGGTCGTCCACCCAGATATCTTCTCAGATGTCCCGTGAGTGCACTGTAACAAAAGAAGGAAAGTGCTCAAATTTGGCCTGATTGGTCGTCTGGCTGGTTGACTGCCCCTCAGTGGGTTCGGCCGTCCTGTGTTGCTGCTACTCTGCTATTGCTCTGGTGTTAATTTGCTGTTGTCTTGAGCCTTATTTATGCTTGCTTGTTCATAATATTTTAATGAAATAGAATTTTAGAATAGAGAGTTTGATAGAGTGTGTACATTAAAAAAAAGCTAGCCAAAATACAACAGTGAATTTTGAGTTATGATTTGGCTCAAAATTTACTAGGGGTGAGCATGGTCCGGATTGGACCGGTTTGAGGTAAAACTAAGACCAATTCGTTATCTACGGTTCTTGAAAAATTGGAACCAATCCAATCCGTTTAAATCATGGAACCAATCCGAACCAATCCATTTAAATACGGATTGGATCGGTTTACGACCACGGATTCACATAATTAAATAACAAATATATATATATATATATAACACTTTAATTTCATAAAAACATAAACATAGCACTGTATTAGTTTCACAATAGCAACATGTTTTTCTATAATAGCAACATACTGTTCTAGAATTTAAACAACCAGAAGAAAATTGGTTTCACTATAAGTATTTAGACCATTACAAATTAAAATTAAAAACTAACAAACAAAAGTAATAAAAGAAGATATTATACGGTTTTAGGTTTGAGTTTAGATTTCATATAGCATAAAAGAAGATATCATGGGGGATGATGCATAATAAAAATATAGACTATTTATATACGGTCCGGATCGATTCCAATATGGAATCGTGGGGTTCAATCCGGAATCAATCCGTGGACTACGGATTTTTAATTTTTCAATCCGGAATCGAACCGCGGATTCAAAAAATCAATCCAAACCTATCGGATTGGACTAGACTGGATCGGATTACGAATTTCACGGATTCCTTACTCAACCCTAAAATTTACTGAGACTGATGCGGATTCTCTAAAACATTGTTTTGTTTTCTATCTAACCTCACTTTTCTATAATAATAAGAAAAATGATAGAAAAAAGCAAATATCAAATGACATTGTCAACTTCTTCCCTTTAATTATTACTATTATTTTTGATTTTTTTTAAAAATATATACATATATATATTTAAAGAAGTGGAGAACATGGATATGGTTTTGGTTGTTTAGAATGTGGGCAGGCAGTCTCATTCAAAGCTGTTCTGTAAAGAGAAAAGAATCCTACCTAAATATATATGAGTTTTGCCTTTTTGTTTACTATTTAATAAATAAAAAAAAGAAAAAAGAAAAAAGAAGAAGAATGGAATTCCAATATGGCGTCCATGTGGGTGGACCTCTATTTTAAAAAGAAAAATGAAAATAAATTGAGGTTTAAATATTGCACTAATTATATATATTGAATAGAATTTGAAATTTGGTCCAACCCCAACCAAATATAGCCAAAAGTGGAGGCTTCTCAAGTGCCACTTTGACGAATCTATCTATTTTATTACTTCTCAAGTGCCCATTTGACGAATCTATCTATTTTATTACTTTTTATTAATTATTTTTTTAAGAGAGAGAAAGTAGTGTAAAAAACAAAAAAACAAAAGTGACTGATATAAGATAATAATTATATTTTCACAAAATTAATCATCTCGGTACAGACCATCTTTTAATTCTTTTAATTATATTTGTATCCTAAAACCTTGGTCTCTTTGATGCACACAATTGCACACCCCACTCACCACCATCACCACCAAACCCAATGTTAAATAGACGAAAGATGATAAAACAAAAACAAAGTATAGAAGAGTTTTCAGATAAACGCCCAGTGTCTTAAGACTTGGCTTTCATTTCTTGGAAGATGGTTTAATAAACTTCAGAATAATAATCCAAGCATCTGCAATGTATAGTCTATAATGGAAAGTACACAGATATTACTCCAGATTTGAACTACATATATAGTAAATGATAACAGAAAAAAAGTAACATGTTGACAAAGAGTGTCTAGCGGGCAAAATAACCTCTGGCAGCATAGAATGCAAGGTAAGGTATGAAAGGATGCTGAATGAAAGACCTGAGATGCCGAGGGTTTTGTGGTTATACTACTCTTCTTTGCCATTTTTGTCGTCTCCTCAACCTTTCAAGAATGCATGAACCAATAAGCAGAAGATTTCAGGTGCCAAAAAAGCCCATTCTTATTGTCCACATAAATCAAGCTGAAATGTTTGGTATAGCCAGAACTCCACTCAAAGTTGTCCAGTAATGACCACGCAAAATAAACCCTCACATCTGTTCCATCCCTGTTCGTGTGTGCCATAATAACAATGTCATCATTTATAGATGTATAGAAAGACTACTGTGCGAGCATAGAGGCATGTTCACTCAAACACTAGCCCAGATGTGCACATGCAAACAGAAAACCATTGCAATAGATACTAGAACCAATGATAGCAGCATCATATGCCCCACCTTGATCACATTCATGAGCACGGCAAGGCAGAACCTCCACATTGGTACAACAATTGATCCATACAAATTTAATTGTTCAAAACAATAATATGAACCATATCAGCATCATAGAAACCTCTTTTTTCTTAATCAGCTTTTGTTGACAAACACACCCATAACCCAAAAGGGAAAAAATAAAAAAGATTAGCAGTATGCTAATGATGAGCACAAGTCTTTCCAAATGATGTCATCTTCAGACCTGTGCATGCATATGCGTGATTCAAATACAAGCATGACGAGAGATTGGCTCCTCTACCCAAATTTTTTTATTTTATTTTATTTTATTTTTTTAAAGATGAGAGTTCAGGTCATCTGATTGCAATCTCTAACCAGTCATCAATGAAAGCGCCGCCCATCAAGACATGGATGGACTCGATAATTGTTTCACTGTAGAGTATTTTATTAATCCACCTGTTATATTTCTTGAAAAAAATGGCAGTACCCTTTGTATAGTGACTAGGCATAATGAGATTTGAAATTATCTGGTCAATAATGGCAGGAATTGTCAAGGTCTCAAAACCACTAGAGGAGATTGAAATCAAAGAACTGAACATTAATGCATGTGGAGCACTAGACCTAAGCAGGCATCACCAGGAAGTAGCAGCTATGAAATACGCATATGTTTAAAACAAAATGAGTGACATTTACGCTGTGTTTGGTTAGGAGATTTAAGGAGGGATTGGGAAAAGGAAAGGGAAAAATTAGGTGAAATATGAATAAAATATACATACATTTCACCTAGTTTCACACACTTTTTCCCTTTCTCTTTCCAAATCCCTTCCCAAATCCCCCAACCAAACACAGCATTAGTAAAAGTTACGCACTTAATTGCCTGAGAAACAGCTGCAAGGTAGCTTTTATAGTAACAAACGCTCAATTTGTCATCTAGCATCTCATGGAGAGGGTCAGTCATTATCTTCATCATCCATACCTGCATATGTAATACAGCCAAATATTATATAAGTAATTATAGAGTAAGTTAATTGACTAATAATGAAGTTATTTTCGACCATTTACAGCATATCCTCAGATCAGTTACCTCTTAATTATACTTCCAAACATATACTACTACTAAAACGAATGCAGCACTCCTGGTACAACTTTTTCTCATTTCTAAATGAGCTAGTTTTCTTATTTAAAAAACTTGCACAGACGAGGAATGCAGCACTCTAGATCAGCCTTATCTCATTTTGCTTTCCTCATTTCTAAAATTCCCTAGTTTTCCTTCTATACACGTGCACAAAGAAGGTTTCAAATGTTATAAGCACATCTATGGATATGGTGATACCCAAAATCTAAAAAATTGGAATATGGGTACGACTAGGATATGTTTGTAAAAAAACAATTTTTATAATTTGTAGTACTGAATTACACATAAGCTCAAACAATGGGGAGAAACCACTGTAATTTTCTAATGATGTGCTTCTTTAGAAATTGGGTATTAGTTTTAGAGCCAGCAGCCAGTTTATTTTTAAATTTTCAATAGATACTGTCACAGTACCATTTCAATATTACATCTAAATGTTTATGTTCAAATAAAAAACAGTCCACAACTTGCCCTGTGATTTTCCCTTTTGCACAAGTGGCATACGCAAAAATGTTTTATGTAAGTTCACTTGCTTGTTTAATTGTTAAAATCCAATTTATTATATTTTCTTATTGATCCGAACATTCTATGAAGTATGGATATGGACATAGAACAAATGACACATTAAGGATACATCAATTCGACAATTCTGAACAAGTAGGGTACTACTTTAATCTTATTATTTTCGTCTTCTTTAAGAAATAAGTAAAATACTGAAACTTTTGTATTTGTCCTAACAATTAAATTCTAAACGTGTTTAGAATTTTTTTTTCATTTATCAAAAAAAAAAAAAAATACATAAATCTAAACACGTGTCCATCGCTTATAACACGAGTATGCAGGAAATGGCTGCAGAAGGATTTTCATCAGCCGATCAATGAATCAAAATTAAAAGATCTTGCACTTCTAAGGGTTACCTAAATAGTGTAACCAAACCCTTTATTCCTTGACCAATATTTATGCAATCAGAAGGTTTTACCATGAACTTATGCTAAAAAAATTTCACTAGAGGGCCTGCCATTTTTTTTTTTGTGATCAGCAACGACAGAAATTTTATTAAAATGAAGAAAAGAGACAAAAAGAAATACAGAGGACAAGAAGTCCTCAAAAGCAAAAACCAAAAAGACTAAAAATTGCACACAGACTTCCAATCACTAGAAATCAAAAAAAGCGGAATTCCCCTAAATGGGGGAGCCACTGAAGCCCAAAAAGACGCCAGGAATCTGATCTTTCCCCACATTGAAGAGACATCAATACTTTTATCCTCAAAGATCCTTGCATTCCTTCCAACCATATGACCCAAAATAGAGCAAAAACCGCACAAAGCCCCAACACCTTCACTTTCTTATTTAAACTCAGAAATTGAAAATCAACAGAGAGCATTGAACTACATGATTCGGGTGCCAGCCAAGCAAGATCACCCCACGAAAAGAACTGTTGCCACAAGCTCCTTGCTACTAGGCAATGCAAGAAAAGATGATTATGAGTATCCCCCTCACCCTTACACATAATGCACCATTGAGGAGAAAGATAACGATTAGGCCTCCCCTTTTGAAGGACATCATTGGTCAAAATACTTCCATGAACCAAAGACCATAAAAAAAAATTCACTTTGAGAGGCGCAAAAGACTTCTAGATTCTTTTGTGAGGAGGAAAAAACAGAATATTTGGCTTCTCAATGATTTGTCCGAAAAAGGATTTGCCAAAAAAAAAACTCCGGAAGAATGCGAAAGCCAAACAATTTATCACTCAAGGAAGAATCCAAAGACAAACGATCAATTCGAGAAAACAAGGAAGCTAACTCACCAACCTCCCTATTGGTGAGATTTCTAGCAAATCTAACATTCCACGCAAATGGAGCCAAGATAGAATGTAGATTTTGGAAGAAATTTAAAATTAGCATTTGGATTTTGCTATGTTTTCAGCTGAGGTGCTGAATTCAAATGTTTTTTGCCATGCTTTGTGCTGAGGTGCTGAATCCTAAGGTCTCTCAACTTTTCTTTCTCTTTCTTATTGTCTTGCTCACCTTGTCTAATCAAGCAATAGCTACTACACCATTTTCATTTCTTGAGAGAGGAAAGCTTTTAAAACACACACACATATACACATTATTGCAAAATGCGTTTCTCATAGTGAAATTATGCAACAGGCAATAGTAACCACATCTTCATTTTGTGAAAAATGATAACTTCTTTGAAAAACTATATAATGCAAAAAATAATAATAATAATTAATCTGTAGTTTCTTGAATTGAAATTAAGCATCAGTCAAAAGAGTTTCCACAGCTCTCTATTATGTGAGAACACATTCAAGATTAAAGTGGCAAATTCCTATATAGGAACTTAGTTGAAGCATACAAAGGAACAATTTTGTGGAACTATTAGTCATTAAGAAAATCCATCAAGCGCACCATTTAAAAGTTATTTTCTGTTAAAGGGCATTCTCACTTGAAATTCTAAATATCTGCAATATTTTTTAACATCTATTGCCCACTATCGTGATTGTCCTCTAGGGTGAATGGAGATTCATCATTATGCATTAAGTCATGGAAGATGGATGTGCTTGCTATTATCAATGCTGTCAAGAGAAAAAAAGCAGTAAAGTTTGGAATTATTTTTGGACTCTACAATATATGGCAGCATTAGGCAAGCCAAGCTATTCAGAATGGCTAAGCCCTGCCTCCTGGCTGAGGTTGAAAAGATGTTCGGAGTGAAGCCTTGAGGTGACATAGACTCCTAAAACCCATGGAACATAAACACTTGGCCCCCATAGGGTACCAAGAAGGCAAGCCTCAATTGGTTTCGTCCTAGACCAAAGCACTTTTGAAGTGCCATTGGTCCCTCAAAGTAAGTTCGATGTGACAGAACATGTGTCCTTATCAGGCTGACACGTGGAGGCCTGGATGACGATGTGTAAGGCATATGTCATGCTTATGTAGTTATACAGTCTTGCGTAGAACCTAACCCCAAAAGCTAGCTATTGAGGTGAGAGCACCCTCACACTTATATACCTCACATTACTTTAGTACCTAGGCAATGTGGGACTTCGCTTCACGTATGTCTGACACATCTTTCAAAAATTTAAAGTAAGAAAATATTCGCTGCAATTAACCTATATGCCTAAAGATATTAAAGAGCCATATTAATGTATTCAATTGACGTCAATAGAGGCATAAATATTTAGTTAATATATAGATGCTTGGAAACAATACAATTACTTGATGACAAACAAGGACAGCAGTTATACAACCTGCTCATTCAAACACCCTCCCATTGACTCATGAAGATTCAATGGAAGATCCCAGTGGTACGGAGTTACAAAAGGCTGGATGCCTGCAAGAACATAGCTGCAAGTTATTTATTATTGTTGAAAGTAGATGGAAATGAACAACAAATGACTTCATACACCTTTCAAGCAGAGCATTAATGACGTTGTAGTATGCAATCCCTTCCTCATTCAATTTTGTACCCAAACCATCTGCAAGCATGGAGAAAACCAAAACAACTGATTAAATTGGTCATCATGAAGGAAAGGAAACATAGAAATACGCATAGTAATTACAACATCATTTCTTCATAAAAAAAACAAAAAGGGCATATTATTACTTCGTATGTTTCATTAATAAAGATGAATAGAAATGGAGGGGACAAATGGACTACAATTAAAACATACATTATACTAACTTTGCCAAAAGCACAGGGAGCGGAAAACACATGGTGTCATAAACACTAGCTTTGTTTGTAAGGAAGCACAAAAGGAAGGGGAGCAAATAGATAGGGCATCAATTCATAGAGCATTGTAACTTTGCGCAAGACTAAAGGACAAAATGGTGTTGAAAAACTTAAACTTCTCCTAAATGAAAATTGATATCTGGATATTTCAATAGTCAATTAGTTGAATCAGGCCTAAGATGTTAGGCCAAATATCAAATGCTTGATGGATGATCCAATCAATACAATCCAAATCTCAATTACTAAGCCAATTCATAATCAAATCACAAACAATTAACTAGCTCTAAAATGACACCCCTTGGTGCCACCCAAAAGAGTACAATGACCCAACTAACAAGCTCTACCCGGACCAGAACCATTATATACAAGAAAAGGTTGGCAAACTTTCATTTGGCAAAGCAATGTATTTGAAAGAATAAAAGAAACACAATAAAAAACGATACAACAAGACCTCAACAATCAAAATAAAAATAATAAGTGCCTATGAAAAGTAGCCAAAGAGAGCACACCTCACATTTGATCCGAAAGAAAAATGAAAAGAAAAATATCTCACCTCTTGTTAAGGGATCTACCTCCTTATTGCTCAATGCAAATCTAAATATTTCAAAAGCTTAGAAGTAACATTGAAATACACCAAAGACGATTAAAAAGGTGACATTACCTGGAAATATACGAGACCATGATATGGAAAAACGATAAGCACCAAATCCCAACTTAGCTAAAAGGTCAATATTGCATTTATTTATAGAAAAGATTAAAATTAGAAATGCTAAGGATTAAAGAAAAAGGTCACATCTTGAAGAATTAATCAACACACCCAGTTACATGCATAAATTATCCTTTCTAAATTAAAACAAAACCTTCACAGGAAACAACCATGTAGAAACTAGATCCAGATAATTAAATTTCTAGTTTCAAAATCATGAAGCATTAAAAAAAATTAAGAAAAGCAATTCATCCATGAGAAAATTTGAGGGAAAAATAAAATTGAATCTATTGTATCAATGCAATAATACATTTTTACTGTTTTCTCTCTATTATGCTTTGCCACGGTAACTTCGGTGACCAATACAAAGTTTGACTAACACAAAATAAATAAATAAAAAGTAGCCCTAACGGCTAAATATAACCGAGGGACAAAACAAAATATGAAATAACAAAGGGAAACTACATTTCTTCATAGTTACATAGTCCAAAAAAGCCGATATAATAGTATTCACTCAACTCAAAAGTCTGAACTGTAACGATGATATTGATCCACTGCAATGTCTCCATTACTTCCATTACAAATTTTTCCTATTACAGCAAGAAAGTTAAAAGACCATAAATTTTAACAAACAAGCTAACCAATACCACATTCATGCATACAACACTCAGAGGTCATTGTAATGGAATAGATGGTGTATGGGTCTATAGGAAAGCATACCTTCAGTATGCCAAAAAAAGAATCCCAAATAATACTAGAACCTCTACCACCCTCATTCCAACCTAAATTAACAAGAAGAAAGAGATGAAGTTCAAAGATCTTGAGGTTTGCTTAATCTATAGGCTTTATAGGTTAGCTAACTGAAAAGTTATGTATTAAGCAACTTTTATCAAAACCTTTTTTTTTGTTCTTGATAAGTATAACCTCTCTCAAAATTATATTGTTGAAATTCAACGATACAATGCAAGTCATAGTTTTTCATGTAGTAAACAAATTCTATAGTAAAGATGATTTGCTCCTTTTACAGGCATGATGTTTGAGAAAATCATTTGCCAATCGTACATAAATTTCTGGAAAGTAATTCCATTTTAAAAAAAAAATACCAGGAATATATAGGATTGTGAGTGAGGAAAATACAGAGAGCCAAATTTAGCCCTCCAAATTATGTTTCAAGTTTTGAATTGGCTCCATCACCATGTCTATTTTCACATGGCTATAAATAAATAAATAAAAACATAATCAAGATTCAATAAATTTTCAGAACCATGTGATAAAGGTCAGCAAACATTTGCATAAACGAGTAAGATTTATTCAGCATCAAAAGATTTATTTAACCCATATGGCTTTGAATACCATAGCATGATATGAAATTAGAATAGATAGGTCCAAAGAACAAAACTTTTTCCTTCATTCCAATGGATGTGAGAAGTTTACAATGCAGGATTTCAAAAAGAGAGCCTACAATGCATTCCTCTTTTATATATCTCATGAAAACAGCTACAAGCAAAAAGAAGAAGAAGTCTCCAGAGATGGAGCCTTGACATCTCATATTGCATTCACTTCAGTAAGCCGATGCTAAGTTATGCCCCAACAGTTACTTCAGCACTCCTGACTTCCTCCTCTTCCATCTCCTTAACTGCTTTTATAAGACCCTTTGTGATCCCATTGAGATGCAACCCGTTTTCTTTCATCTCCTTTAGCAGCTTCTCTGCTTTTCCCCAATCTAAAGCCTTCAGGCAAAGAGATTGGATCAGCTTATTGTACTCATCAGCATTAGGCTGAACTCCATGCTCCTTCATCTCATCCAACAACTTCAGTGCCTTGTCAAATTCTTCAAGTTTGCAGTATCCACGAATGAGTGTATGATAAATCATGGGACTCAAATTGGAGTGCTTCTTTTTGGCTTCAGCCAAAACTTTACAAGCCTCCTCCATCTCTCCCCCCTTCACATAACCACTCATAATGACACTGTAAGTGTATACATCAGGTTTCAGACCCCTAGTCCCCATCAATCTCATCATTTTCCTTGCCTCATCCATATCTCCAGCCTTGGAGAGACCCTTGATAATGGAATTGAAGACTGCATTTCCAGGAGGTGGACCTGCATCAATCATCTTAAACAGTAACTTTTTTGCTCCATCAACATCTTTGATTCTACACAACCCATTAATAACAGATGAAAATGGCTTAATTGCATATTTTCTCTCTTCTCCAGAGAAGTCTTCTAACATCTCTAAAGCTAAGGAAACAGTCTCGTCCCCTCCACACAATGAACTGATCAAAAAATTAACAGAATATCGAGGTGGGTATCTATCCTTATCCTTTGCCAACAAGTAAACCAAATGAGCATCTTTAGCCTTAGCACCTTTGCACAAAAAAGATATAATCTTTCCAACTTTCTCACTTTCAGGCAATTTTCCAACATTTAGCATCTTCTCACAAACAGAGCAAGCCCAATCAAATAATGAGCGCCTACAAAGGGCTTCAATAGTGAAATAAAACGTTTCAGCATCTGCGACACACCCGAATTCCCCAAACATGTTAAACACTTCAAATCCAGCCTTGCCTTTACCCAACTTTGACAAAAGAGATATCAGCTCATTGAGAATCTCCTCATTCAAAACACCATTCTCCTTCACCCCAATCTCCTTAATCAAATCCCACAAAGCATACGCGTCTTTCTTCCTAAGAGCACTAGAAATTGCCTGAACAAGAACCCACACACTCCCCGTAGTTACTGAGAATTCTGGCTTGTTTGAAGCCCATTTGAAAAAGGCAATTAAATTGTCACCTGGAACAAGGGGGGTTTCGAGTACCCTTATCACAAACTCTTGATGTAAAGTCAAATCCATGCCTTCAAGGCTCGATTCTAAAGACCCATCAGCACTACTAGTACTAGTACTAGAGCTCTGAAGCAGAGACAACACACTCTCTAACTGCTCAAAATCGACCTCACGTATTTCATCTTTCTCAACTAATTTATCAAAATCGAACGATGAAGTAGGTCCATTGTCAGATACTGATGCAACATAAACAGGATTTTCCTCAAAAACAATGTCTTTTTCATGAGTGAAAGCAGTAGCATCAAAGCCATCATTGGTTTCGGAAACAGGCGAATCAACGTGCGATTCAACAACAACATCATTACTAGGGTCTGATGAATCGTGAGAGAAAAACCTAGGGTTTAGGGAAGATGGGATTTTCTGAGTGAAATGTGAATGAAATGAAGATTGTATGAAGGTTTGGGCTTCATAGTTAAGTACCTGAGGAGTAGGAGAAGGATGAGAGTTTAGGATTAAATGCAGCAGCCTTGATCCTCCTCTTCTTGCAACTATTGATCTCCACATCTTCTCTCTCTCTATCTGTATCTCTATGTGAAAACCCTAAGATGGTTTTAGATATGGTTTTGGGACAAGGATCCTCTGGGGTGAATTTGGTGAAGTGATCGTGGACTGGAATTGCTGAGAGGATGACACGTGGCGACGGAAGGCCAGGATTGAAAGAAGCTGCAAAACGCAGCGTTTTATACCCCACTCACACCCAAAAAAAAGTTTGAACTTGAAAATTTAGGGTTTGGAATTCTGATTATTTATGTATCAATTGTAGTTAGGTTATTATATTTTTAGTTGATTCAATTGTTTATGTAACTTAATTTCTATTTAGTTGTGGTATGATAAATAGACAATTCAATTTAAACTTCTATTTAGTTGTCAGTCTCATTGTCACTGTTATCTGTGATGTCAATAAGAAGGAGAATTTGTGACATGGTACAATAACACGATTCGAACCGTATATGAAATTAGTAGGTTAGGATTGATCATTTCCTGACACGAACACGTACACGACCCGATAATATGAAGATTAAACAGGCCGGGTTAGTATCCAATCTGTATAATAAGAAATAGACACGAATAACCCGTATAATAAAAAATTAGTTACATATTTAATATTATTTCCACTAAAGAGTATTATAGTATTTTTTAATCTCTTACGTAATTATATCAAATTTATTAAAAAGTACATAAAATACAATCTTAAATTTAATATAGATTTTTTTTTTCTTTTAATTGAGCTTAATGAATTTTTTGTTCATTATTTGAGTTAAACTAGTAAAAAATATAATAATAAAACATAATTTTTATAAATTAAAAAAATAAAATTAAGTTAATATCAAATATTTTTATATATATTTTCATTTAATGGAGATTAGTTTCTTTAAATTTAATTTGTGAAGAAATTTTTGAATTTTTTTCATACATTTGATATTTTTAGTCAGTAGTGAAATTTTTTGACATGACACGTTAATATGACATAAACCGGATACGGGTCGAAAATGGCACGACACAATAATATGAAATAATAAACGAGTTAAGTTAGTGTTTAAGTCATTCTGACACAAACTCAAGATGACACAACACGAACACGACCCAACATAAGAGCATATCCAATGTATGAGGCAAATGGAGAGAATTAGGCATTTTGCCCATTGAAGCTGCATTTCTAGGGCTCCAACGCATGAGGCAAATGGCGAGGCATTTTGCCCATTCTCGTTTTAGCTCTCCACGGGTAGCTAGCCTCCATTGCTAGGCAAAGTGTGTTTCCGCCAACTCAAGTGACTCTTTTTCTCTTTCTCTCTCTTTCTTCCTTCCCTGTTCTTCCCCGTTAACGATCTCTCTCAACCCACCTCCTGCACTACGAAACCCTTCTCCTTCTGTTTGATCTCGCTAAGCTTAGTTTACTTCTTGCAATTCAGGAGGATTCAAGAGGTCTGGACATTGGATTTCAAGGTTAGAACTCTTTGAACCCTAAATCAATACCTTTGCTTCGCTTTGATTTCTTTCTTTGTTTCGTAGTATGTTTGTCATCAATTTATTGGACTCAATGAGGTTCCTATTATTGCCGTATATTGGGTCCCCAACCCAAATATTTGGTGGTGGTAGGTGGCTCTAAAATGTCGTTGCTACTCTCAAACGTTGTACCAAACGAGTCCTTTTCAAACTAACCGGTTTTTACTATGCCTTCTCTTATACCTTTCCAATCAATTTCGACTACGACTCTGAATGTTGAACAGTTTTCAGAGCAGATTATTTCTTTCCATTCATGGGTTTTGCAGTGCTCGAGTTTTCCTAAATTGGGTTCTGTTCGATTTTTCATTCTCTTCCTCTTACTTTGATGATTGTACAGAGCACATGAAAGTTTGTTTCTTGTTCTTTAATATGCTTTTTTCATCTACATATTATTAGTTTCAATCTTTCATATTTGACTTGTTATTCTTTTTGTTGTTTTTCTTTCTTTCTTTCTTTCTTTTATTTATTTATTTATTAATAACTTGATTTTTGCCTCTGGGTTTTGAGTTCAAGCCCTCGTCATTTGTTATGAGTTTATAATTGTTTTCACTTCAAGATTTTGATCAATTGTAACTGAAGGAAAATTCAAGTTTTGTTTTGGAATTTTTGTGAGAGAGAGAGAGAATGAATGGATTTATAGGTAGTTGGAGCTGGGTATTTAGTATTTTGCAAAACTTGTCAGGGGAAAATGGGTTATCAGATGGGAATTCAATTCGCAGGCAATCCAAATCCCAATATTTGCTTCACCAAATGCAGGACTAAAATAGCCCGTTCTGCGGATCGGTGCGAAAAGGATTGGGAGGAGATGTTTCTTTAGGGGGAGAACATGATGAATCAGTTTTAGATTGGAGGTTTCATGAATTGGACCGACATAGTGGTAGTTTGGCAGCTGGAAATGCATCTACAAGTGACAGTGATGCTAAAGTTTTGGCAAATGTAGAGAATTATGAGAATTACAATGTGCTTATGATGAAGAATTTTCCACCAGGATTCTAAGGAAAAGAAATTTTTCAGGACAATGCGATTGGAATTGGTGAAAAGAAGGAGGGTTTTGATTATTTTGGTGATGCTTTACTGGGATTTGAGACCTATAGATTAGCAAAGAGCAAGCCTCTTAGAAGTAAAAGGTCTCGCGAGTTTTCTGTTAAACCATTGAACCCTTTAGAAAGTTACCTCACTGCTCAGCTGTATAGATAGTAGGCTCAAAAGGATGAGTTTGAGTTTAGTTCAGTTCCATCACCATTTACACCAACAGTGAGGCCATTGTTGGTTACTGATGGGAACCGAATAATTAGCAGAGATTTTAGTGATTCATTTGGTTATAACCTTAAGAACAAAGGTGATATTTCCTTAGAAGAGGATAGTAATACAGTTTTGGAAAAGATTGACTGTTTGAAAAAGTTCTTCATGCAACCCAACGTATGTAGGCCTTGTATAATAAGTTCAAACTGTGTATGAGATTTATATAACCTTTGAGTACTTGGTTTTATTTTATTTTACCATTATCTTTTAATGGGTTCTGCTTGATGTTTCACAATTTCAGCTCTTGTGTTCACTCTATGAATTCTATTGTTGATATAATACACATTTTGTGGTATGAATAATTGTGCTTTAGATGAAATATCAAAGAAATGCATATTTTAGCAACCTAATGAACGACGAGTTTGACCTTGACCATGATGTTACCACTGAATCTCCTCAACAAGAGAGTCAATCTTTATCATTCTCTCCTGAAATTATTACTCAAACCACAAAGATATCACAATGCAAATGGAACTTTACCGTAGAGGAAGACATGATGCTCATATCTTCATGGCTTAATATTAGCTTAGATCCAATTAGAGGAAATGAGCAAAAGTCAAAGGCATATTGGTTAAGAGTGTAGGAGAACTTCAACAAGTACAAAACCTTCTATTCTGAAAGAACTCAAACTTCTCTAATGAATCGGTGGTCGACTATTCAACTTGCCACAAATAAATTTTGTGGATGTTTTGCTCAAGTTGAATGGTTGAATCGAAGTGGTTCGACTGAAAAAGATAAGGTATTACTAGAATTTAATTTTGTACCTATAGTGAATATATATTATTCATTACGTGATAGTGACTATTCTTTAACCAATTTTTCAGATTCGGGATGCGAAAAAATTGTACAAAGACTTGTATCAATCGAACTTTCCCTTTGAGCATTTTTGGAATGAATTGAGATCCCATCCAAAATGGATGGAAGATACAACAACGAAGAAGCAAAAAAGCACAAAAAATGCATCTCCTGCAATGTCTACCCCTTGTACACCAGATTCAATAAATTTAGGGGACAATGATAACTATGATGTTGTGGAAACACTAGCAGGAAGGAAGGCCGCAAAGAAAAACAAAGTCAAAGATGTTGGAAATAATGTTACAGAGTTGCCTTTTGTGAAGCTCTTAAAAGAGATAAAAGTAAAGAACGACATAACAAATGAGAAGAAAATAAAGATATTTGAGAAATCTTATCTTCAAGAGGAACGGAGGATTGAAAATGAGGAAAGGAGAGAGGAACGAAGGCTTGCATTGGAAGAAGGGAGAGAGGAAGAGAGAATCATGTCAATGGATACAAGTATGATGCCTCCATTGCAAGCACAATATATTTACCAACGCCAGATGCAAATCCTTGATAAAAGGAATTAATTATTTATATTTAGCTTTGAAACTATGTTTTTATTTAATTTAAGTTTGACTGCATTTTATTTTTGGGTTTGCTGGCATATCTTGTATCAGTTGGGGTTGCTGCTTGTTGTTGCTAATGGTTTGTAAAACAACCTAAATTCATTACATCACTTTTATATGGCTTGTTGGTAGCACATTTTGTATTGTTTTATTTAGAGTAAATATGATACAAGCTGTAATGATATATTGTTTTATTGTTTTAGTATGGCTTGTTTTATTGTTTTATTGACAGAAAAAATTTATTCTAGGTATCACTAAAGATCATAGATTAAAAACAAATCACTAGTGATATATTATTGAAAGCACATAAAGTAATACAAATATTTTTGAAAACACACTCACTAAAGCATATAAACTAGTACATAAATCAACAAGAACCAACAAGTATTTCTCATAAGGAGTCTCCATGTAGTGTCCACAAGTGTTCGACCAAGTCCTGTTTGAGTTTGGAGTGAGTTCCTCTATCTCTAATGCGATGATGATTTTGAATGAATTCAAAAAGTTCTGGTGTACGCTCATGAGACACGGGTGGAAGACTTTCACTAATTGTATCATAATTAAAAAATGAATGAAGTTGAGAAATATAGTTCAAATTGGTAAAAATGAAAGAGCAAATCCTTTTTATAAACAAAAATATATGATCGTTAGGAATATGTCTGTTATAAAATATTACTGTTAGAGAATAATACCGTTTGAAAATATGACCGTTGAGAGAATATTACCGTTTGAAAATATGACCGTTGAGATAATATGATTGTTTGAAAATATTTTTTTTTAATAAATGATTTAATTATATATTTTAACGTCAATATATGCAGCATGTCATAAAAAGATTATTTATTTATTTATTAATGTTT